TATAAAGATATTAATAAAAATTAAAATTACCTGATTGTTTTCTAATGCATTCTAAAAATAGTGCATCAGTTGATTGACATTCAGAAGGATGTTTTGATAAATACAATAATATATCTTTTACAGGTGTAAATTGGTTCTTGTGATTGTCAGCTGAAATTAGAATAGATCAAGTATTTGTACGACCATATCACTGATGATAAAATACACCACCTTGATTATTCTTTTCTTTTTGTAAGCGCAACTGTAATCTACCATCAACTCGCTTTTCAATATCACGAAATTGTAACTTGTAAGTATCACCACCCCATAAGCTACATAACAATGAAAGCCAAAAAAAACTCAACGAAGCAAACTTTCATTATTATTAATTGATAAATATTCATGATTTAAACAAAAAACTATTTCGTTAGGTGTTAATGAATCATTTTTATCAGTGTCACCATAACCTTCATCTTGTAATGATCTCATCTTGCCATCTAATACTTGGATTGTTCTTGAAAATGTATATTTGTCCCAAATGTTAACTTTACCTGGAATAAAAGAATTTTCATGTAAATAGCATGCTAATGCAGCATAACAGTTGTTAATTGATTCAACTTTAAATGGTTTGCTATCAATTTTTGTAAGCCATGCAATAAACAAACTTAAAAATTCATCAAGTTCAGCTTTATTGTCAATTTGATCAATCGTTTTATCAATATTATTTGCTTGATGATATCTGTCAACATGACAGAGCTATTTAGTAGTATTTTTTTCAGTATTAGCTACATAAGATAGGTTTTTTAAATGTTCAGCTTCTTCGTGTAAATTTCTACTAGTCATTTTTTAGAATCTAAATAAGAAAAAGATAAAAAAAAAAACAAATAAAATAAATAGCTTAAATATCAAAAAAAGTTTATTTGATGTCAGAAAACTGTTACATAGGACCCAGACGATAAAATAGTTATCATGCACAAAATGTACGATAACTATAAAAAATGAAATCATATATTTACTCGAATGGTTACAAGATGCCGAGGACAAGAAAAATCTTAAAATATGAAAAATAGATTTAGAATGGGATAATATGGTTAAAATTTTCTCCAATGAGACATTTTCATCTGATAAACATGTCTTGGATTTTCTTAACAACTATAAAAGTGGAATCACCTGTCTTAACTATGTTGAAAAAATTTTTTTTAGTACACGACTTCAGATTGCATTTAGGTTGTGCTCAAAGGAGCAAATTACTAATGATAAACTTGATATGGGTAAAATAGATTTTATGTGGAATATTGTCTGTAAAATTATTTCTAGAAAGAACTTTTCATTTATTAAACCAGTATTAGAATTTCTTAACAAATTTGTGAATGGAATTGTAAATCTTACTGAAGCTGAAAATGCTTTTTTTCTTGCACGGGTTAAGATCACAATCTTTTTGTGCACAGAATGTAAAAAATTTACAAAAAGAAAACAAGAAATAATAGATCTAAGTCAATGTATTTATGCTAACATGTTGTTAAAAGAAGAAGAAAAGATATATTTGTATTGTTATCTTCAATATAAGTATATAAATGATCTTAATTGTTCAGTTTTCGATAAAATAACTCAAAAATCTGCGGAGATTGAAATATTTGAACTTGGTGTATGTTATAATTTTGGAATTGGCGTTGAAAAAGATGAACATAAGGCATTCATTTATTATCAAAAATCTGCAGAGATGGGGAGCGCTAGTGGGTCAAATCTTGTTGGTTATTGTTATTCAAGTGGAACTGGGGTTGAAAAGGATGAACATAAGGCGTTTATTTATTTTCAAAAATCTGCTGAGATGGGGGATGCTGAAGGAGCATATAATGTTGGAAACTGTTATCTACATGGAACTGGAATTGAAATGGACAAACATAAGGCATTCATTTGTTATCAAAAATCTGCAGAGATGGGGAGTGCTATTGGGTTAAATACTGTTGGATATTGTTATCTAAATGGAACTGGGGTTGAAAAGGATGAACATAAGGCGTTTATTTATTTTCAAAAATCAG